TCAACTCTAGCTTTGCTTTCTCTTTGGCACTTATGGACAAATGATGGCATGCTGCTTAAGCTATTGCCCAAAAGTCAGCTGAAGAAGCCTGAAAGTCTTCTCTAGATGCAAGAGTTTTACCAGCTCAGAGTTTCTGAAGAGAGTGTCGAACTTGCAGTTCTTTGCATTTTCATGACTTGGCCTGTATTGTATAGAATCTGGAGCTCAGCTCTAGGCATGCCCTTTGTCAGTGCAAGAACAATGGAAATATATTTGCTTTATCTAATAACATCCAATACTAATTTTGTTAGGTAGATTTACTGTTCAAAGGGAGGTCCCATAAATCCTTTTGGAAGTGATCGTCTCTGACTTCAGTAATAATTTCTAATTTCAAAATTTAATTAGTTCTTTAAACTGAACACACCTGGACTGCTCTGCACTATTAAGACTTCCATTTTCCCTGCAAATTACCTATCTGCCATTTTTAACTTTTCTTTATAAGATATTGTTTCATATATATATATATATATATATATATATATCTCACACCTTGGGTTTTTTATCTTGTCTTCTTTTATATTTATTTTAAATGTTCATGGTTTACTTGTAGTATGCAAACACCCCCCTATAGCACAAGTAATAGAGAAACTGTTGCTCGCACAGTTTTAGATGCAATGGCTTTATAAGAGATTGATGAGTCAGCTGGCCTGGGATGCAACAGTAGCTAGGACAAGAACTTAGTTCTTCCAAGCCCTGTCCCGTACCCTTCATCTGAAGCCTCACTATCCTAAGTATGTGTGAGGTGTTAACAACATAACCATCACGTGGGAGGGATCTGAGATGCAAAAATCTCAGGCCCATGCCCAGTGAATCCGTTATTGCGCTGTAACAAGCTTCCAAGTAATTTCTATGTACAGGCATCTTTGAGGAACATTCTTTTAGATTACCCTTAATTACAGGACCCTTAATTGCATGGACACATTTTCTTGCAGCTTTAGTCTCCTCTCAAGGATCTCCATTTCTAAGACTGCAATCCCCACTTTCTTGGAACACACTTTCTTCCCACTTTTAAACCCTACCCCCAGCAACCCCCCTCTTTCCCCTTCTGACAAGTTACCTTTTCAGTGTCTTCCGTTAGAATCCGTTATGAAGCCCCTCGTGTAAACAACATCTTGGGAGGGACGAGGATCTATTTTTGAAAGTGTGAAAGGGAGAAATGAGCCAAATGCGTTCAGCAGATGTTAGGCAGCACCATGACCACGATCAAATTATGGGGGAGGAGGAGGAGGAAGAGGAGGATGGGAAGGGAAGTGGTGGCTAAGGCGAGTCCCCTCTCTTTTACTTTTCATCAAGGATTTCGTTTTGTTTTGTTTTGTTTTGAATTCAGCCCTCCCTCTGGAAATAGCACTCCAGATCAACATTGCAAAGCCAGGTCCTTCTCTATCTACCTTTCACAGGAAAGACCCTCTCTGGGGAAAGGTTTCTTGGCTACTTCCTCTCAAGTAACAGTCAAAAGTCCAGGAGGAGGTTAATCACTGCTACCCAAGAGGCAAAGCAAGATTAGTGAGTCTTAGAGCTCTGGTGCTTGTCTGTGTTTGTTTTAGCCTCCTGATTTGCCTAAGGAAAACAAGTTCTGAGCTACGCAATAGGGTCTGCTCCAGAAGCAAGTGTCTCTCCCCTGGCCATGTGTAGATAAAGCAGACACCTGCCTGGATAGTAGTTTTAGAGAATGGTTGGCTTCCTCTGGTGACTCAGTTGCCTGCCTGACTTCATAACCTCAAAAGTGCCGAGGGCACAGAACCAGGTCATTCTGTGTTATAAATAGAGCAAACCATTTGTTCCAGTTTGCCAATGACAATCCTGAATTACGCCTGTTGTTTTAATGCAATTATTAATAGCATTTCCCTTTCTCTATCAAAGCATTCTGGTTTGGATAAAGGACTATGCAGCAGTCACTCTGAATATAAATGACACCCAGGAAAAAAAGCACATTGGGTATTTCCTGGCCTTTGCTTCTGACAACATGCAAGGAATGTGTTAGGCCTTGGTTTCCTCCTTTCTTCTTCAAGGGTCAGGCTGTGGAAGTCAGCCAACTGTCCACGGGAGCAGAGCTGCCTGCTCAGTGTCCCCAGGATGTAAAGCCCAGTCATATCTGTCACCCCAATGTGGTGCTGCAAAATGTGGACCTCAACTGGAGCCATGTGATAGGAGAAACAATCCTGAATCAAAATGGGATGTTCAGGTGTTTGTACACTTTTATACATTTTACTGCTTTCAGTTTGATGGTCATGTGGTCTAGTATATCCAGCAAATACAGAAACCACAAGCACAGATTCTAATCCTGCTGGCTGCAGACTCAAACTTGGGCAAGTGTTCAGTTTCCCTTTTTTATTGGAACAGGATCAAGGACAGAGCTACCACACAGCAGTGTTCCAAGGATTGGCCAAAAGAAAAACCTTTTAATGAATGTCACATGTGAGATAACTAACTTGACAGAATAGTAGCAACAGGAATAACAAGTTACTTTTCTATATAACACAAAACAGCTAACATTTCCTTTGCTTCTTGTCACTTCTTTTATAGCTCCTTAACAATAATTGTATTTCCTATCAAATGTCAAAATGTGAATGAAACACTACCGTAGTTTGGTACTAATCATCACAGAAAAATCTCCAAAAAATAACTGTTTTACTACTTTTAGTAATTAACCAATTTTTAAAAAAAAATAACAAAACACTTCAGTCAACAATGGGTCAAAGACATTATTAAGGATTAAATTACTACTTCAAGCCATCACTTCACTACGTTTATCAGAAGATTAACTTATTTTTCACACAAAATAGAAACAATCAGATTCTATATTATTATTATAATTAATTTTTACAAACTTCATACCTACAAGAAGTCATATAAAAGTGTACCATGAAATTAATAAGAAGCATTAGATTATGTGATTTTTGTGTAAAAAAGGGAAGAATACAAAATAATATGTACACTAAATCTACACTTACAGAAAATATTAAACTCTAAAGGCAAAAATGAACCAACTAATTAAGTCAGGATATTAGAATCATGGATGCTTTTTAGAAATTTATCTAGTATTTCTATATAATTTTTTCAGTTAAAATAGAACATTTCTTTTAAAAAAGCCACATGGCCATGTAAATAGTTGCAGTTAGATGCTCATATACATAATAATACAATGCAGGTATTGGGCCTTTAATGTCTACTGAGTCCGGTAATATAATGTGTGTGTCCAATCACAATTCAGGAAAATTTCAATCACTCATTGGCAGTGTTCCGCCTCTCACTGGCCACAACCATGTGACAACCATCAGGACTTTTTACAGCTGCTGAGACAAATCCTAGTTATCTAGGAAGCAGGCAGGAAAGAAAGCAATACTTCCTGGCTGTGACCACATGCAAACCAGAGACCTTGAAACACCAAGCTGTGTACTACACCCTTTCCCAAGCCATTTAGGGGGTGTATAATCAACTTCTAATATTTTAAAGATAAACAGAGCAATCTTCCAATTTTAAAGAATATACGATTTCAGAATAGACTTCAGAATATCTTTATCATAAATGTGCCTAGAGAAGAGGTGTTTAAATGTTAAATAAGACTCACAAGTGGAGCTAGCTAATCTTTCAAAATCAGCCAGAAACACCATGTCTGAAAACAATAGGGCCTAGAATCAGACTTTCTTATGCATGGAATCGCCACATACTAAGGCCAAAGCAATCCTTGCTAATTCCACATGGGAGCCCACAAATATATTTCCAAATGCAATTATAGTTTCTTTTATAGAAAAGAAAGCACATCCAGGTAAGAATTTGGCTTTTATTATAGCCATCAATTTTCAGCAAGTATTTGCCTATCACTAATGTGACATTTCAAATCAAGAGGTCAACTCCAGCTGGAAGGTAATTTATAACTCATTTAAGTCACTCCTTAAGCCAACAATTAACAATGAAAAAGTAAATAAAAGCATGGAAAAGAAATCTGTGAATACTGCTTCCACCACCAGAATCACCCAGGGAAGGTCTTCAGCCTTGACTTGGTTTCTAAGAGGGCTCAGATGTAGATTCAAGCAGAGGCACCTTATGCTAATCACAGTGTATTAGGCACTTGGGTTTCAGCTTTTGCTATGGTCCTCCCTAGACTATCTGAAGAGCATGAAAATGAGAGTTGAAAGCCTTTCCGTGAAACTGAATTAATATTTTGCTACTTTTTTGCTTGAAAAATGTGAACTTTTGTAATACAAGTGTTTAGGGTTAATTTTTTTACAGCTTTTTTATACTAAAACCAAAAATAAAGCACACATACAAATTGACCCCCAAAGAAACCTTCAGATAAGTAGGTAAGAATTAGCAATAGAACAGGAAAGCATTTGGGATCATATGTCATTGTGAACAATGAAAAAAGAACTAGAAGTGATCAGAACCACCTAGGGTTTTTTCTTCTCTACCTTCTTTTCCTTCCTTCCTAGCCCCCTCTTCCTCCCTCCCTCCCTCTCTTCTCTTTTTTCTTCCTCTCACTCTCCTTCCCCTGCTCCTTCACTTAATCTTTAGAAATTAATTTTGCTGTCAAATGTGCCTTCAGTCCCACACTTCAGTCCTTACAGGTTGAGTTCCTACTTAAGTAAAATGAAAAACCATTGTGTCATGAATTTGGTCGTATGGTCAAGTTTTGTTCCGGAATGGTTGCAAGCGGGACAGTGGGTGCAGCTTAACGCTCTTTCTTTTAGATCCTTTCCCATCTTTGAAACCTTTGCAAGAGTTCCTGAGTCCAAGAGAAGATTGCTGATTGGATGGCCTGCCCCTCTCTCTTCTGCCCCAAACCCTGCTCCTGGGGCAACTAGGAATCTCCTGTGAAAAATCTGGGGATGTCAGCAAGTTGAGTGTCTCTGAAGAGTTTAACCCAGTGAGAAATGTCAGCCAGCTGCACAAACAGCTTTGAACATGACCCACGCTGAGAAACAGGTGGAAGTGGAGCAAGGGAGAGTGGGCCAGTCATTCACCTGTACGGAGAGGCCGTCCCCCAGGAGAGATAATCGGTGGGTCTTGGAGCAGGACGAGGTACGATGGGCTGCTCCACAGCAGTGACGTCCCCTGAGTAGGATTTAAGGAGGGAAGCATTTTTATTGGCCAGCATGGCTCTCTCATTTCTGCGGAATTTAGCTCTTCGGTTCTGAAACCACACCTGGAAGATTATAGGGAGGCGAGAAGGGCATGAAGAGGGAGAGAAAAGAGAGAAGGGGAAGGGGGGAAAAGGTTACATGAATTAATTTCTAATTTATTTTATTACACAAGGACTTCCCAGGAGTCAATTCAAATGGACAAGGAATTTTCCCTAAAACAGCTTAAATATGCCATGATCCTTTCCTGGTTGAGCATGTTATTTAGAACTAATACAGGGTAAGACTATTGTAACAGAATCATGACGTTCCAGCTGGCATCAAAATTTAGTTTACAGACCTTGTTGTAACCAATAATCAAGAAGAATGTTATCAGACTTCAGACCCAGACACAAATATATTTCTAAAAGTTGTATGTTTTTATTTTTCTGTTCAAAAATCTCTAATATATAAATAAAATTACTCCATAGAAGTAAAGAAAGACTTGTTTTCTGCTCAGTCTGTCTCTCACTTTTAGCTTAATATGTAATATTCTTTCTTATTAAAAACAGTTTCATCATATCATATGTTATCTGAATAATTTAAATAACTTATCAACATAAAGAGTACTTATTCCAAAAGAAAAAGTCAGTATTTTGTGTGATGGATATTTGAATGATTGTTATTTCATGAGAATCAAATCACCAAAGAAATACAAGTTTAAAAATCAACATGAAAAATTATAACCAATCATGAGTACTGTTGTTGCTGCTAGAGGCCATCAAGTCAAGTATGATTCATAGTGACCCACTGAACAACAGATCTGAACTCTGTCCTATTCTGTGCTAAATTCACACTCTCTGATGTACTCAAGCCCATTATTGTAATCACTGTGTCAGTCCAAATGGTTGAGGGTCTTCCTCCTTTTCTCCAATAATGCGAAATAATGAGATATTATTCTCTGGTATAGTTAAAGTTCTAAACTTTCCAAATAGTCATATAGAGAAAGTAGGAGCATAGATTGGCATATTCCTTGCTGGGTAGTAACTTGGCAAGATGTATAAAGACTATCTTAAAGCATTCATGACAAGGAATGAATAAAAAATTTCCAAGCATTCCACAGTAAAAAGTTAACTGAGTTAGCCTTTAAGTCTTAAGATTATGGAAATTGCCCAAGCAAGTCATAAACTATTAAAGGAAAGCAAACACATAATTTGAAACATTTAAAAATAAGTATTATAAGTGCAGCTATAGAAGCACATAGCAAAGTATGGAAAAAAATATAGAATGAGACAGTAGCACGTAAATAAGTTTAGAGAACAAGCTTCTCATAAATTATGTGACTATTGCCTGTAACATTGTACAGAACCAAGACACTGGACAGAAATCAGTAAAGATAGAACTTGCACAGCTTTTCCTGGGCTTCCCCAGCCTCTTGCCTCTTCTGCATCTAATAAACCCTTGACATTGCTATTGTCACTGTTATTAGTTGCCATGAATTGGCTTCAGTTCATGGTGACCTTAACTAGAACAGGATCAAATATTGCAGTCCTGTGCCATCTTTGTGGTCATTTTTATGTTTGGGTCTACTGTTGCAGTACTGTGTACTTTAAGTGCCTTCCAACCAAGGGGCCTCATTTTCTGGCGCTCTATGAAAT